GATCAGGGTTACTCTCCCCTCTCAATTTTAATACCTTCAGCGCTACTCTGGTCGGTCGTCTACTGTTAGCCAATGTCTGTGGTGCAGGCAAACAACTTTTACGTACACAGCAATAGGCGTTTGGTGAGTATTAATTAAGTGTTAGGGTGAAATATTTTAACTTTGAGGCATATTTAGTTGTGGGCAGTTTTCAAATACTACTTTTGAGTTTTTAAAAGTTCGCTTTCTTCAATTCCTTTCTTATCTAGGACATGTTTGTTTTTTTTTTATTTATCAAACATGTCTCTGTCAGCTTGCAAACTTGTCACTTCTTAAGATCAGCCTAATATATTTATTTTATTTATAATTTTATTAATTTATATCTATTGTATGAATAATCAATAAGTGAAGATACTTTATTTTTGTTTCACAAAAGCATTTTATTGTAATAATACAAATGTCGATTTTAAAACTATTTTTTTTTTGTGATGATGGCTTATTATTAAAACATAAGATCCTCCAGTTTTTGTTTTTTGGTACGTAGCATTTTTATTTCTGGTATTTATGTTGAACCATGCCAAATTACATCTCTTTAGAACACCAACAGTCTGTGCACTAAGCCGCGGACAAATGGACAGACTGTCGGACTTGGCGAAAATATAAGCGTCCCTTGTTGTGATACTACGGAACGCTAAAAAAACTTGCTACGCTGACCAACTAGATAGATGATTTTAATTGTTCGAGACTTCGAGCGCAGTTTGCTAACGCTTGTGAGTCTTACATAGCTTGCTACATATTTATTTATCTATGGTCTTACACTCATAACTTTTTCTATGTTGATGTATTTAACCTATATGTGTGCGTAAAGTGTTATAGTGTTGGAAATTTAAAGCTGTGTGTGCCATAATGACACAAAATTTTATTGAGTAGGCGTGCAGTACTGTCTATGTAGTGTTTCATCGCCCTGCACTAAAATTAACAGACTTTTTTGTTCGTAGCATTAGGCGCATTACCCGTCCATTGGGTTGAATGGTCTAAGATGTGAACACTGGACAGCGGCCCCAGTGTATCGACACTTGTACGATTTGATGATATGCGTAAATGCAATTAACACAAACGTAAATGCTGTAGCGTGCGTGTAGAGTGAAGCTATTCGATTTTGTATTTTTAGTGAAGTATACATGTGTTTGCCTCGTCTCCCCCTGAAAGTGACAGATTAGAGAGGAACGTAATATCGGACATGACAGACTCTTTGTTTAAGTATTAACGCGCATGGACTCTCCAGTTGGTTTAAATCAAAGATATTATAATATACTTCGTATAGGAAAAAGATCTTTGGTTTAAATATACACAGAGGGATTCAGATCTGGATTAATCTATGTATCTGGATTAAAGGATAAGGAAGGAAAAATCCAAGTTCTAGTACCTCTTATTAGTTTATGATCAAAGCTTATTGTAGTGGTAACCTTTATTCTCTTTGGTTTTGGTTAAATGCCTTAAAGCCAAAACCATTGCCACATATGCCTTATATATAGAATGTAGAGGTACCACCATGAAGGTTAGAGAACAGGAGAACGATCACTACGTACTAAAGCATAGCCCACCTGTCCTTGAAAATTGTAGAAATTATAGCGGCGCTGACGTCGGTGAGTAGTGACTGCGAAGTTACCTGTTTATGAGTACAAGTAGATGAAGTTAGTTGAATAATGTAAAAATTTTCTCCGCGGCATTAGTGAGAAAATTTTCATGCCCCGTAATTTTGTAATTTTTGACAAAAAGAAACATTAAAAAATTGAGAAATATTTTATTGTGCGATGTGCAAGTGATTTAGCATCTGATCGGAAAAATAGACTGAAAAAGACTTTTATTTAGTGAACTTAGCGATCGCAGTGCCTCACTTATGATGACTTTATTTCTGGGACAATATTTTATACGGCGATCGTTCTCCTGTTCTCTAACCTCCATTTATACAGCTGGCTTTACGGCTCTGAGTTCTAGCCCTTCTGAGCCTTCGTCCTCATTTCATTCGGAATCTTCATTTTTACATATTTTTACCTTAAAATATTTTGATGCGTCACATTGCGAAGTTATTACGAAATTTTGATGACAGCTAAACTCAGCGGACAGTTGATGCTAACAGCCACTCAAGTTCTTCAAGTTCACTCAAGAACAGATTTTGATACTCTGAATTAACACATAAGCTACATTTGTCCCGGAAAATTAAAAAATTCCCGCAGTAATAAAAAAAACACATGCGAGCAGCTCACACTTGACAGAAGTGAAACCTTCGAATGAAATATAAAATACAAATACCTTAAATGATTTATTTAATATTATAATTTAAACTACAAGTTCGGTATAAAATATAAAAAAATATAATGTAATGATTTCTTATATTTACGCGAACACTACACATTGATTAAAACTACTTTTCTTTTAATTAAAGGCGATAAATTCCGTAAAAATAGTTTTAATCAAAATATAATGTTATAGTAAATAAATGTATAAATGTAATAATCCTTTTGATATATATATATATATATATATATATATATATATATATATATATATATATCAAAAGAATAGAAAGAAGATAGGGAGATAAGTATAGATGAAATAATGAAAGTAATGAAAAGCATGAAAGAAGGTAAGGCAGCCGGATATGATAGAGTTTCACTCGAAATGCTAAGGGCTGGAGAGGACGTGGTGGCAGGCCTGCTGTACACCTTGTTTAACTTATGTTGGGAACTAAAGCGGGTACCGGGAGACTGGTGCAAAGCCGTGATAGTCCCAATATATAAGGGAAAAGGGTCACAGCAGGACTGTAAAAACTACCGTGGTATCAGCCTTCTTAGCATTGTGGGAAAACTGTATGCTAAGGTACTAATTGAAAGAGTTATGAAAGAAACTAATGAAAAAATTTGGGATGTGCAAGCGGGATTTAGAAAGGGAATGGGGTGTACAGATCAAGTCTTTTCCATGCGCATGATCGCGGAGAAGTTTTTGGCGAAAAACCAAAAAGTTGTTTGTGCGTTCATGGACTTGGAAAAGGCTTATGACAGAGTGGACAGGGATGTGTTATGGCAAACGCTGAACGCATTTAGGTTGAGCGCTGGTTTGATACAGGCATTAAAGTCTCTGTATAGGGACTCGAGTGCTTGTGTTAGAATCAACGGGGTCTACACGGACTGGTTTGGCATCCATAAAGGTGTCAGACAGGGCTTTGTAGCTTCCCCGTGGCTGTTCAACCTATTTATGGACAGCTGTTTGGAAAATTTGAAAGTTGAAGAATGCGGGTTAAGAATGGGTGAGTTAACCATCAAATGCCTTTTGTACGCCGATGATCAAGTCATGCTTGCGTCGTCGGCGGCCGAGTTGCAAATGATGGTTACATTAATGAACAGGTCATTAAAAGAAAGGGGAATGAAAGTGAACGCAAGTAAGACGAAAGTGATGGTTTTCGAAAGAGATGAAAGCAAAACGGTATGTGAAATAAGAATAGAAGGAGAGTTAATTGAGCAAGTGGATGAGTTCGTATATTTGGGATGTGTATTCAGCAGGGATGGGAGATATGATAAGGATATTGAACGACGAGTGAATGCAGGAAATAAAGTAAATGGGGCTCTACACTCTATTGTGAAAAGTCAGAATGTGTCGAAAAATTATATATATTAGACACAGATATTATATAACTCTTTTCGATATACCTATACTGCCGTCGTAAGAAAAAAGGGCACAACTAACATTTAAAAAAATTGAGTTATATACATATTTAGAATCAGAAAAAAAGGCACATCTGCTCAATTTTTGGTAGAATTTATCTTCAAGGAATTCGGAGATACAGTAGGCTCAAAAGGCACAAATGAGACTAATATTCGTATTTTATAAAATGAAAAGGCACATTTATTTACCATTTTATTGTTACGAGCTTGAGGTTCGTGACAATAAAAATTGCCGATAGGATTACCTAAATTAACACTTTAATTTTCTTTACACAAATTAAAACTTAAAACACCAATAATTAAACACACTAATTCACTTTATTCCGCTCCGAAGCTTCGCTTGTCTCGCCAAATTCAATACTGCCCCGATCGCACCTTGCAGCGCCTATAAATACACATTAGTACCGAATCATCCAGAACATTCAAGTAAATACGCGCACCAATCAACAAAGCGCCGAAAGATCGAGAGTCAGCTTTCAGAAGCTTAGTTCTTCCTTTCGACAACAGATGGCACTGTCGGTTGAAAGATTAGTGATGTCATTTTCTGGAAAGCTCTCCCCTCGCTCCGTTACCTGACACTAGATGGCGCTAGTGCCAGATGTCAACTTAGCCGCGCAACAATATTGAAAAGGTACAAATACGTAGATGTGACTATTACTTCATACAGATTTTTACTAAAAACTACTTTGAAAAAGCACACCTACAACATAACATAAAGAAAAGGCTCAAATGCCAGATATGCCTTGTCTACTTAATTAATGATCCATGTATGAATATACAAAAGGCACACATAACCAGTTGTGCCTTTTCTTTAAATTGTTTACGATTAGGGGTGAGAAAAGGAGGGCAGAGTTTGATTGAAGCGCGCCAGTTGTGCCTGCGACGTCGAAGACTCCACGCTTGTCAGCAGTCCGCCCACGCTAGGTAAGTTTATTTACGTTTTATCCATGTTTACATGTTGTTTCTAAGTCAAGTAGGTAGGTACATAACTTTGTAGGTTAGGTCGTACACCTAGGTAATCCAACAGTTACCTGTCGATTTCTAGACAGATGTGTCAAACAAAGCCACGGTAATATTATTATTATCTAACTATGTCTACACCCGGAGGTCGAGGTGCGTAGGCATAGCCCGCGCTCCGTCCGTTTGTATGAAGTTGGAATTGTATTAGATAATGTTACCGTGCCTTAGCTTAACATCTATGTGACATGCCATAATATTTAATGAATTAAGTAGGAATATGATAAACATATATTATTATTCATTTCACTTGTTTTTCCCTTATTTCAGATAATTTTAAAAATGCAGTCACGTGGTAAAAGATTAGTAAGCGCCGCTTTACAAAATCTAAAGCTTAGATCTGATATTGAAGATCAGATTCCGTCCACTAGTGGTCTACAAAACTGGTCGCCACAAATTCTAGTATCAGAATCAGATTTTGATTCAGACGATTCAGTAGCCGATAAAGATTATAAGCCACCAAAAAACCACAAAACGTACATTATTGCCGCTCAATGCTCAAAACAATCAGTGGTTAAAAACTTAAATATGAGAGGTCATAATGAAAACTATGAACGACGTGAAGCCAATATTTTATTGGATGATTCTAGCTCCGAATCAGACGTCATTCCATGTTCTCAACCGTGTTTGGAAAAAACGATTCCAGAATCTTCAGATGAATCTACAAAAGATGAACTTACAAAAAAAGGGACAGTAAGAAAGCGCAAAAGATATGATGTTAATCTTAAAGAACGAAAGAAAATTAAAAGAGAAGAAACAATATATACCAAATATTTTGTGAAACCCGGATGCCAAGAGAACATTTGTAAAAAAAAATGTTCAACGAAATTCTCAGAGGATTACCGCAAAATTATTAAACGTAATTTCTTGAAAATGTCTCGGTCGGAACAAAAACACTTTTTTTTTAGCTAATACTATCCAGCAAAAGCCTGCAAGACCAAAGAAAAAGTCATGATGATGAGCATGGTAAACACTATGATCGAACTAAGACTGTTTTGTGTTTCTTATGTGATAAAAACGGTGAGAAAGTTACGGTATGTAAAATGTTTTTTCTCACAACTTTGGGTTACAATAAAAGTAACTGTAAGGCTGTGAGGAACATTATTGACACATACTATAAAATACAATACGCAGAACCTATTGCTGATAGCTTATAGTGGATTATAGTGCATGCGCAAGCACACGTGCACTCTCTATTGTCTCACTCTCATAGTCCAATGGTTCGGCAATCCAACACGACCGGAGAGAGATCTGGCGCAGGACGAACAGCTTCACGTTCTTTCCGAGGCACGGGGTGAAGAAACACCGCCAAATTCCGAATTCCAGGCTGCTACTGAGAAATTTTTGACATAAAAACCCAATAAGTGATTTTCAGAAGTAGAAGGTTGTTTGTTCATCGAAAGTTTCCATCATGACTGGAGCAGAAACTGAAAGTGAGGAGTAAGTCCGTATTTTCTTGAGGCAGCTAAGGATTCAAGTTCTTTCCTAGGTGAAACAGGAGACATTAGGATAGAATAAAGAGTATTGAGAGCGCGCATACTGCCAAGTGAGCGGTGTTTGAGAAGGCGTCTGTTATTATTCTATTTTCTCTATTTCTATTTTTTTTAAACGTTACCCCTACACTATCTTTATCTACACTATACACTATATTATCTTCTTACGATTTTCTCTTGTATCGTAAGGGCAGTTTACAAACGTAAATTGCACAAGGACAAACATCCAGACCCGGAACAACTATTTGTAGGCCATACAAATACTTGTTACGTGCGGGATTCGAACCTGCGATCCCCAGCGCAGCCACTCATTGCTAAGCCACTGCGCCACGGAGTCGTCATTAATTCAATAAGATTAGAGTTATGGTTCATAAAAGATAGCTTGATCTCTGCGACAGCTGTAAGTAAGAATCACGCCTTCATAGGTCCTGAATTTCTTAGTAGTACAGACAGTACCTGTCAATGACAAACTTTATGGGCATGCTCTAATTAGGTCGGCATGCCCATAAAGTATGACATTGACAGGTACTGTCGGTACTACTAAGAAATTCAGGACTTCATAGGCGTGATTCTTACTGACAGCTGTCGCAGAGATCAAGCTATCTTTTATGAACTATATGCTAGGTTTCAGTGGCATAGAAAAGGGAAAATATATTCGACATCTGGCAATATTAAAAAAATTACATTAAACACCCAAAAAATTTACACATATATTAAAAATTTAAATCTTAAAATAAACAATCAATCATCAAGGTCTGAATTATGATCCCTTACGAATCCTTCCACCGTGTTGGCTTCTCTCGCTAGCTTCAAAGCGGCATATCTTTGATGAGGAGCAGCCAGCCAGTCGTGGCTTGCAGATCTGACCATTAAAAACTTTAACAACAGACGGCGCATCATTTCCATTTTGTCGATCATTGTCCGCAATTCTCTGTAGAATAATAGAATAGTGTGGTAATTGGAAGTGGGCGTTGAAACAATAAACTGTTTTTTTCAACGGATTTTCATTCGTCAACGTGTTAACTGTCATTAATGAAAAAACAGGTTGAAAATATTAGCTGTCAATTTATGCCAACACACTTAACGAATTTTTTAAATATTATTTTATTCCTTTCTGTGAATTTTGTCTCCTTCGGAAATATTCGTTACTTCCGAAGGTTACCGAACACCGTCGCGTCGATGCATCGGAGGCGGTCTTGTCCGTTCGTGTTTGAGCGTGAGCGAGTAAAGAAAGTTCATTTGTTATTTATTATGACTTTGTATTGAGTGTGTGTAAACAATTCATGAGCTTCGGTCAAGGTTAAAATTTAAATTCAAATTGTTTTGTTTGCATTACACGACAAGTGTTTTTAAGTTTAGTTTTTATTTTTCAACTTTTTAAGTTTTACCGTAAAATAATATCTATTGGGTTGGGATTTTACATAAATATTGTTTTGTGACAAAGCTTGGATATTATGTCAGCGGGACGTAAAAACTCACGTTTACTCTGCCAAAGATAAATAAACAATATAAAACGAATTCTGACTAACATAAGAAAAGCTCGCAGAGAAAGACTTAGACGCTAGCAGACAAAGACTTGCCAACTTTTCAACAAATCATCAACATATCGGAAGATTGGACCACCTACCAACAGTTATGAAAGGTATTGGAACCATTCGAAGAGGTGACAAGAACCATGGGTGACCACAAATATTTGACGGGCGGCTATGTTATAATAATGACACATTGTCTGATAGAATCTTATAAGAAGATATGAAGTATAAGAAGATATGGAAATCGAACATAAAATGGCCATGATATAGTTTCATTGTTAAAATCAAGTTTATCAGACCAGTTCAATAAACTTAAAAGTAATCTCTAGATAAGAGTTTATTTCTTATCAAATCAATAATCTTCAACATAATCTGCAACAAAATTGTTATTGATCGAAAACGTTGAAATATTAAATTGACGATCAACGCTAACGATTAAAGTTTCAAATCTGTTATTTATTTAACATTTTTTTTTACCTGTTGACCATTAATGATTTACAGTTAAATGACATGAACAAAAAACCGTCAATGACCCATGCCTAGTGGTAACGAGTACTTCACCACTTTTTCTGCCACTAGGGTGGCGCGTCGCCACTTTGGAATAAGTGAAATATTTGACAGATTGATGGCGAGGAAGTAAAATTTTTAGAAAAGTGTAAAGATTAATGTTTTTTTTATTAAATTTTATAATAAATAAATTATAAATGGATAAATCAAACTATGAATTATAAATTAAAATAGTTCTAAATCAAAAAAAAAAAAAATAAAGAGCACACCACTAGGGCATTTTTTTATGAAGGTACACACTATAAACTGAAAAACTTTTATTACAAGCGACATCTAGTGAAAACACACGCGTTCACGCACACACATGCATCACTACTACGCTCATTTTCGTCAGTACTTCCCGGGGCGTCGTGCAGTAAATTTGCCTACAAAATGCCGCCCTGTGTAATTAAATGGTGCAAAAACAATACTTAAAGGAACAAAATGTCTGAAGCAATATCGTTTCACACGTGAACACTCATTTAACTACATATTTTATTTTGATACTACAACACAATTTTGAAGGTTATTCGAAGCACGGATGTCAATGTTCCGAGATTACGTAACGGGAGAATGTTGCCAGTATTTCTTATTTCTAATGGTCCAAGATATGGGTAATTAATTTTAGGTTATGTTTTAGAAATATAAGTAGTCAGCATATTTTTTTTTATTTACGTGTTATTATGTTACATCAAATTGAATTCAAGGTAAATATTTAATTTTTTAACTCGCTGGTGTTTCTGTTTTGATTCTTGAGTACTTACAAACTATTTTATTATAAAAATTATTTATGATTATAGGCTTCCACATGGCATGGCTAGACATGAATGAAGGGTAGCTGCTAGAAGACTAAGCTGAAATGAACCAAAATGGCAGCTATCCTCTGAACTTGACAGCCTTAGCCACGCAGCAGCTTTTACTGTTAAACCAGGGTGGTACCACGATCTCACAGAATACCACCATGAATTTACCTTTGCGTTTTGCCTGGTAAATGTAGGTGGTGGGAGGCTCAATCCCCCTCCCCCTCCCTTACATCGTAGCGGAATCAAATAAAACTACCCCAAGAGGGTACCAGCACTATTGGTGGCGGAGAATCCCTCACTTCAAATCCACGACCAAACTATCTTACTCTTCTTGAGCGTGAGTGCTTAGGCTGGCCCGCGTATTCTGGGGGGGGGTGAAATTCCGCTCGCGACTAAGACGCGAGAAGGGGCAAGCGGAGCAATAAGACTAAGGCAAACCCTGTCACGCTTTCCGTGAATTTTTGCTACATCAGGAGACTTCATTCCAATTTTAACGCTGTCCACTACCATCTGGAGACGGCAAAACCGGCCTTGCTCTTTTTAACCGAGACTCAGGTGTTTTTTCCGGCTAATACTTCACATCTCTCCTACCCGGGGTACAAATTAGTACACTCTTTTGTGCTCCGGGCTAGACTTTGTTCTACTTTTTATTTACTAAAATTAACTTTTTTCATCTAGAAAATACTATATCTATAACTCCATCCATTTTTTTATTTCAACTAATTTTTTACGATTTTTTGAGTATTAGGTTATTTTTTATAATAAACATGTTTTACGTTCCATATGTTATATTGTTTCTCGATGCTTACACGCTCTTACACGATTTACAGACGCCTCCTACGTTCACCATCTCTTTTTGAATTAATCAAATTATTGAAATTTAGTTAAACAGACGGATTTACTTTCGCATTTTTTTGTAGGACAGGGTGACAAACAAGCACACAGTCCACCTGGTAAGTGGTTGGTGTGGCCCATATACATCTACATCTATCCTCGATTATCAAATCAAAATGCAGATGCGTTGTCACCCGTGAGGACTAAGATGGAATGCCTCGTTTCCAGTAAAAAGGGTCTGCGGTACTCTACACTCCCCATACAAAACACAACAGCATGCCGCTACATTACGCTACCATTTCACGCTGGTATTCTGTGAGAGCGTGGTCCTTCCCCGGTCAAGCCGACCCATTCGTGCTACGACTATACAACTAATATAACTGCACCATGACTCTAAGACGTATAAATTACTCTTATATTTGTAGTATTTCATCTCAATTTTCGGGGACTTTTTTTCACAAAAATGGCAACACTCCTCTGACTCACACATAGTTATAAAATAGGTTACAGTGTCTTATTCTGGGTGCAATATCTACCTTTTTTACTTCATCTGAGGCAAGAATATATCATAGCCTCCGACAGATGTTAAATACAGGGTGAGGGGCAGCTTCAAAGCTGCAATAATATGGTAAGCCTGGTAATACAACTTTATCTGGATGTGGGAAAAGTAGCTTGGATTCCGTCGAATTAGTCTCTTCCGCAGTGCCAGGTTGACTGTGTAAGATTACCATGTCTATTATCCAGTTAGTGAACCGGACTACGAAAACTATACATCATACAACTGCAAAAATGTGAAATCAAGGTGGTGTTATATTTCTGAACCTATTCCACACTGGAATGGACTTGAAATGATATAGTATCAACATCAATGGCGAGTACATTACTCATATTCAATTTGCCGATGATATAGTCATTATGGCAGAATCACTGGAGTACCTCACATACTATGCTCATGACCAATATTGTCCCCCAATGAATGGTTCATAAAATAAAAATAGACAAGACAAAAGGTCATGAGCAATGTTTATGTCACACACATATAGCATATTTTTTATTTATAATTTATTCCAACATTTTCAATAACTTCCACTTTTTACACTCTTCCCATTCTTGGTCTGGTTATTTTATAATTTATATCTGGTAAGAAGAGTTGTTTCTTTTTGCTGCTTGCCACTTTTGTTCAGTTGTTTACTTCACCATCTTACTATTAAGTTAGATATCATTATCATATCATCATGCAATAGGTAGTACTACCTACCAATTTCAATAAAATATAGTACTAGGTTGCACTAAAAGTATCGGGAATGGAATATTTCCACTGTTCCTGACATATTAAAATCTTTTCAATTGAAAACTCCTTGGTTTTAAAATCGAATACCATTTATTTTCTTTAAAAAAAGATTCTCGGTCTTGTCACAAGGTTTTGTCAAACTTGTTTAGTCGTTGAGAAAATGGAATTGGCTCGAGAAAATTCAAGAGCTATGATTTATTATGACTTTCGAAGTGGTTTAACACAAAAACAGTGTGTTGACCGGATGATTTCTGCATTTGGTAATGAAGCCCCATCCAAAACCACAATTTATCGCTGGTTTGCTGAATTTCAACGTGAACGTGTCAAGCTCAGTGATGAATCCCCGTCAAGGTCGTCCAAAAACTACACTCACCCAAGAAAACGTTGATGCTGTGCGTAAGCTGATTGAGGAAGATCGACATGTGACATACCGCGAAATTCAGGCAACTTTAGACATTAGCATGAGTTAAATACAAATAATCTTGCATGAACAATTAGGCGTAAAAAAAGTTGTTTCCCGATGGATACCGCATTCGCTCTGTGAAGAGTAAAAAAGCGGCTCGCGTTACTTGGTGCGTCAGAACTCTCGAAAGATTCCACGCAGGATCCTCAAATGCTGTATACAACATTGTATCAGGTGACGAATCCTGGATATACGCGTACGAACCCGAAATAAAAAACCAGTCATGAGTTTGGATGTTCGAAAATGAGTTAAAGCCAACAAAAATTGTTCGTTCACGGAGTGTTGCCACCTTTGTCTCCAAAACCGGCCATGTTACGACTATTCATCATGAGGGACAAAGAACGGTTAATGCAGAATGGTATGCTAGCATCTGTTTGCCACAGGTCGTTTCTGAACTCCTTAAAGAGAACTGCAACCGCCGCATCATCCTCCATCACGACAATGCGAGTTCTCACACAGAAC